TAGCGTCTTGAACTCGCAGGCGCGCGCTTTCAGGAAATCCTATACACTACTGTTTATGCTCTAAAAACATTCTAAATGACTTCGTTTCGAGTAAATTCTGGATGCTACCCACTCAGGACACTTGGAATACATTGGACGAGCAGTATGGAGGAATATTGACACGTTTTTTGTGGACTTTTATGGACCTTTCTGTCTCGGGCACCATAGACCTCCATTATTTGAATGTCAGCAGACAGCAAGAAGCCTCCCAGATCTCCAGATGCATTTGAGATATCAAAAAAGTACTCCAGAGTGTTGTTCAGCATGGGGGTGAGTAGAAAATGAAGGCTAATCATGTTTTGGGTGTACTATTCTTTTAAGTAAAATACTACAGTGACTAACTAAGAATTGTTATAGCACCAGGAATAAAAAGGTTCTTCTGTCTATTTGTCCTGTTCTTATGAACAGTGTATATTGACCAGATGGGAGTGGTTTGAACTTTCATTACATTAGTCTATTATCACACCTCAACAGTCTCAGTATGGTTTACAAACTGCATGAATCAGGGCATGATTTGTTCACACCACAACACAGCCTGACAGTGTTAACGAATCAGTGACTGCTTCTTGCATTAGGTAAGTAAAGAAAATGTCAACTCAAGCGGTTACTTAAATCATCAAATTGTTGGCCCTAGATCCTGTTCCTTCAAGGTTTATGACCTGAGTGAAGTTGCCCCCCCCCACCTTCTTCAATTCAGACAAAATTAGTGTCAAACGTTTGTGCTGGTTTGTGCAGCAAAAATTTTCATTTGTGCCGCTATCATTTTAAAGATATAAAGAAATATTTCTATAGGTCATCAAAGGTCAACCAGCCCCCCCACCTTCTTCAAATCAGACAAAATGGGTGTCAATTAACTCAGCTCCGTTTGTGCTGTTTTGTGCAGCAAAAATTGTCGTTTGTGCTGCTTTGGCTTTGAAGACATTAATGAAAATGTAAAGGTCAAAAGGTCAACCAGCCCCCCCACCTTCTTCAAATTAGACAAAATTGGTGTCAAACGTTTGTGCTACGTTTGTGCTGGTTTGTGCAGCAAAAATTTTCGTTTGTGTCACTATCATTTTTTTTACAGTTTAAAATTATATAATCATAGGTTAGCAACTTATAATTTATATGAAATTCAGAGTTTCAGAATGAACAAATGTTCACTGACCTTTGATGGCTTCCACAAACAATTATTAATATCATTAAAATGATAGCAGTACAACAAATATAGGTATTTTAAAATATGCATTTTTAACTTTTTAATATATTTATTTTAAATATTTAATATTCAAAATTAATTCTAATATTTCATATTTTTGTGTGGCAAAAATTTTCATTTGTACTGCTATCATTTCAATGATATTATTATATTTTGTAGAGATCATCAAAGGTCAGTTAACATCAGTTTTTGCTGCACAAACCAGCACAAACGTAGCACAAATGTTTGACACAAATTTTGTCTGATTTGAAGAAGGTGGGGGGGCAACTTCACTCAGGTGATTTTTCTGTAATGAAAATGAAAATAAGGTTCATAAAAATAGTAAAGGCTATAAAATTAAACAAAAACAGGTCTGCATTAACTGTCCAGTGGTAGTATAATTATTTAAAATTGTCAGTTTGAGTGAAGGTTTAGAGAGGTTTTTAGAAGCTTAGGCAGTTTCTTGCATATTTGATATCCAAAAGATGGCAACAGAAGCAAAAAATCCAAAATAACAAAAACACAGAAAAACCAAAATCAAGGAGACATCAGGAGGACATCAGGCCACAGGGTACTGAGAGAAACAAATATCCCAGAAAAGTCTGCACATGTCTGTTAAGAGTAAGATTAATACAGAATGTGGAGATTTTACATGACATAAACCTTTAATAATTCTGTCAAAGTGTGTCTAGTTTCCAAAAAACACTTCTTAAACAAGTCTTTTACTGGTACTGCTTTAGGTTTTATGACTGCACTAAACCTAGGAGAGGCTGCCACCTAGTGACCTTTGAATATATCCTCTCCATGTATTTTTGATTTTTCTTGCATATTAAATTTTACTATATATATATATATATATATATATATATATATATATATATATATATATATATATAT